ATATCTCGCAATTCAGTCAGACCCTGTGCTGTTTACATGACAACTGACTATATGCCACTGTCTTATTCAGATTTCTTTGAACTAGAATAGTGGCATAATCTGGTTATATAAAATATAAAGCCTCCCAGTGTTGCTATGTAAAATTCAGCCAGTTATCGGCCTACAATCTGTAGTGAAAGAGGAAAAAAGTTCTGCAGTCAGTGCACTGAGCCAGAGTCCATCTAGGCCAGGGTTCCTCAAATCTTTCCCTGGAGGGCCAATGCGCTGCAGAGTTTAGTTCCAACCCTGATCAAACTCACCTACCTGTGATTTTCTAATGATCCTGAAGACACTGATTAGCTTGCTCAGGTGTGTTTGATTAGGGTTAGAGCTAAACTCTGCAGGAAAGTGGATCTCGTGGGCCCTGATCTAGGCTAATAAGGACGGACATGCCAGTGCGTTTGTGTCATTCGGTCCCGAAACGGAATTATCCTGATTTAGAGCAGAGAGAGTACTAACATGAGGTAAAACAATGAACGATATGAGCCCAATATGAGAGAAAGCTGATGACACAAGGCTTAAACGTGCAGCAGACCCACACACCTCCCAGACTGTCCCACACTTAGCAATGAGAGCAAGCAAAGGCTTTGTTCTCTATCTTAGCTGCTCCAGGAAATGAGCTCCGTATTAAAATCTTCCATGACACACGACCCCAGAGCTGAGCACAGCACGCTGTAAAAACAAAAACACAAATCCCTCGCGCACACACACCGACACATCTGAGCACTCTGCACTCGACAGGAAATTAAAAACCTTTTAAAATTACCCGTAAACCACAGAGACTCCGAAATGAGAAAATAATCACTGATTGTTCGCAGCGTTTTAAAGTGGACCGGTGAAGAATTTGATGACAGCTCTCAATCTTTCGCACCTGATAACTTCTTTAATTTCATAGGAGTCGTCGTGCACACGCACACTCTCACGCTCTCCACAATATTTTCCAAAACTATATGCAAATAAATGTAAGCCCCATTGCAAATAGAGGTCAATCATTTAAATACGGAGGGTAATCATTTTAATAAATAGATACAATTAAGAGAGACCAATATAGTTCAGAAAGGACCCTTCAGAACAGTGTGCAGTGCAAATTTTCACAACATATTACCATAATCAATTTGAAACATTGAATAAATAACTAGATCTTTTTTAATTATCATATAAAGTTGTTTTAGTAACGTTTAGGCACAGTGTAGCATATCACATTGTGTTTCATGCTGAATACAGAATAGTGCACTTGGAATCAGTCTAGTCTTATTCAAATCATGAACCTGCCCTGTATAAAATAGTATAATTAGCCTACTTGAAAAGCTCTGTGGGTGGTGTACGTAATCAGAATATTAATGAGTCATTAATTATCACTGTTTAAATGCATTCAGTGAATCATTCACACACATGGTAGCAGCGTCTAATTATTTCTGAATACAAAGATATTGGACTGGTTTTGCAGGGCATGTGAGGTCATTAGAGGTCTAGCTAGAGGAGTTAATTTTCGGGTTTTATTGGTTCTTTTAAAACATCCAATCACAGCATGCACTGCCTCAGATACGAATGTGTTTAATAAATAGTTAAAAAATTAATTGCTGACATCTGTTCAATCAATTATATGGTATATGAGTTGGCTATTTAATGAATATAAACCTTAGCCTACTCAAGGTAGCGTCATATTTATTTTATAAAAAAAATGTTTTGACAGGAATGAAAAACGAGGATATGAGGGATAAAAGAAGCGTTCAGTAGACTGCGCTAGCTGTTAAAGAACATAGCGATTGTTCAGCTGACGAAACATCTTTCTTGAAAAGACTTTCTGTAGACAAAAAATAATAATAGTTTTGTGAGTTGTGAAAATGACCTGATCTGGGACCTTTACAGTGCGTGCCATTGTCTATCCCTCACAGCCTCGTTTTCATCTGCATTAGATTTAATATGGCGTCTAACATACAGTAGCCTATATCACTTCATTATATACAAAATATTAAAGCCAGTGGCAACTGCAAACAAATGCTGTGAACATAACTTCATTTTGTTGATTTTAATTGATGTATGAAGCCTATCAAGCTTGAAGAGTGTATATTTATTTAAGGAAAATTCAATTTGCATTCATATGTTGTTATATAGGCCTAATGCAAAGACGTTTTAAATGTGACTTAAGTATAAATCTTGGAATCCATGTATTTGAATAATTATTTTTACATTTACATTTAAGTCTGCATTGTTTGATTTAGCAGATTTGGCTACACATTTTTTAAGTTACTACATTCAGAACTTCTACTTGTTGAAACAAAAATATAAGAAAAAACCCAATTATAAACCAGAAATTATCACTGCTTACATTTAATTAATATTATTATTATTATTAATCCGATTCTGAATCATTCAACTGTGTTACGACAGTCACTCATTGTTTGTGGATACCTTAAAAAAATAAAATAAAACAGAAATAAAAAACCCTCAGTGACTTCTCTTATAAAATATCATTTATTCACTTTCAATTTTTAATGTATTTATTGATTTATTTTTGTAACTTTAAAAACAATTTATTCTTTTTGAAAGTGTGACACTTCTAGTCCAGTGTGCGAGGACATCATTTATGAATCATAACCCACTAAAATTGGCTAGTGAGTGTATGCCCACCATTGTTGATGTTCACTCACAATTTTAAGAAGAACCTCCAAATTAAAAGCCGTAAAAACAGTTTATGCCTCTTTGAAATATATAGCTCAATTACAATGCAAAGTAGCCTGATATTACTCAGGAACTTTTAAGCTATAGACAAACAAACCGAGAAAGGCACAGCGGGTTACAGCCACCTCTTTTCTGAACCCTCCTGCATGTGGAGTACCCATGCAGGAGTCCTGGTGTCATGTCCCAGATGACTGTGCATGCAATCAACTTCTGTATCAGTTACAGACAAGGGAACTAAATATAGTCTGAGTTGGACAACAACATGCACATCTAAATCTCATAGACATCGGCTCACTATAGAATCTCCAGTTGTACGCTGTCCTTCTGTCAGCTGTAAACTAATCCTGATTGTTTTGTTGTGGCATGATTCACATCTGCGCAAGAAGGGTGAGTTACCGGGCCTTCGCTGCAGTGTGTGTGAATTTCATATTTCCTTTCACCGGATTATCGTAATGCAATAATCTGGACATTTAAATGAGGGACTTCTGCTTTTGAATAATTTGATAGTTAACTTTTTGCCAGGTTAACTGATTTCATTTCCTTGAATGTTGCTTATAACACTGAGATCAATGACAAGTAAGAGTGTCCATGATAAAGAAAAGGGTAACATCTTTTTTTTTTAATGTAAACACATGTGCCAAGTTCTTAGAAATGCAATCTTTAAATTCATGTTGGTTTTATATGGTTTTCTACAGTGCATGTGTATATATGCATCTCATTATTAAAAAAAACATGTAAATATATTTTTCAAGGTATAAAAAGTATTTTTACAAACATCATGAATTATTAATTCATGAATAGGCTACTAGGGTTTTGGGGAGTTGCACCACAATATCACAACCTAAACAAACCCTGTCATATAAAGGTCAGGTTATCTGATATTTTAAGAGACTTATCGACCTCTATAAACACGTTATAATGCACTCTAAAAAATGCTGGGTTAAATATAACCCAGCGCTGGGTAAAATAGGCACAAACCCAGCAATTGGGCTGTTTTGACCCAGCGGTTGGGTTAAATGTTTAACCCAACCTTCTGGGTAGTAACCCA